TGTGTGTGTGTGTGTGTGTGTGTGTGTGTGTGTGTGTGTGTGTGTGTTTGTAGACCCTTGTAGGTATATCTGTGAAACGAGCGAAGTGGCTTGGACAAGAAAACAGGCCGAGATAGGGTATGATTGTGTGTTAGTGGAAAGATGTGAGCAAGACCTGTCCATCACTGATAGTGACAGGCGAGGGTGGAGGGAGCCGGTCGCTGCTTCCTCAGCCGTAATGCTGACTGACACAGTGCCTGGTGGAGCTGTTACTGAGAGAGATGGCCTGCAACACAGCCGTCCAATCAATAGCAGTCAGCAGTTTCCGAGCATGCATGCTCCGACACACACACAGTCACACATACAGACGAGAGGAGGAGTTTTTCAAACCATGTGAAGTACGCTGTAGGGGAAATTGCCAGTTAGCTGCAAGCAGTTGCTCTCCATTCACTGTTAGCTATGCTTGATGAACAAGTTTTTGTTGTTGGTGTACAACCTGCACCTGAATGCACCTCACAGCAACATTGACAGATATGATAGAGCAGGTTTCCAGTTTTAAAATGCGTTAAATAGATTATAGCGCAACCCCCAGATGAGTGGTGCACTTCTTGTGATCTGTGCAACAAAAAAGCAGTGGGGGGGGTTTATTTCCCGTCTAATTGTGACAACGCAGTTTACTCAGCTGGCTCCTCCATGCTTTATCTGTCACTGATTTAGCTGGAAGGAAAGATTTATTTAACAGCCACGGGAGACGACTATTTTAGAGCTGTTTGAAGAACTTGCAACAAAGAAGGCTGATGGAACCACACACACAGAAAAGAAACATTTATTTTGAATCAACAATGTATTTGACTAATACAATTTCATTCCTGATTCTGGCAACACGTTTTCTCTCACTGTTATTTTTTAACATGCAGATTTGATAGAAGTTTCAAATTGTGTGTGTGTGTGTGTGTCCAGGTTTCATGTGCATCAACGGCTGGAAATGGATCTTCCCTGGACAGGTCCAAGAGCGAGTGGGTCGTGTGCCTGGATCCAAAGTACAGCCTGGTCCATAGGATGCAGAGAAAACACTGCAGAGTGTACTCGTTTGGGTGGGTATGGACTAATTAACACTCACTTCAGTGAAAAAAGCAGCTGCTCTTTCTTCTTTTGGTGCACATTGAAAAAGGAAATATGTATCGAAGAACAAGCTTTGCTCATTGAAAATATCTCATTATGTTTTGAAGCTCCCTCTCCTGAAAATCTCTTCAGTTTGTGCTTGAAATGAACACGGCTGCAACACTAATAGCTGCAATGCGCATTACTTTTGTTTTTAGCCACATCAGGACAGTTTCATTTGCATTATGAGATTGCGTTAATGCTAAAGATAATGACCTGCACCTTTTGGCAAGACTAACAACTGAGAACATCTTGTAGTTTAATGAGTTTTAAGAGTAAAGACAAATACTCCTAATTTTGCCTTGCATGGAACATCCCAGTATTTCACTGCTTCACTGGAGCCAAGTAACCTTAATTAAGTAATCCCACCAAGATATTTTACCTTCTTAAAAGAGAGTCAGTCACAATGACTCTATGTTGTGGATCAGCTGGACCAGCTTCTACCCTGCTGGGCCTTACTGTGACGGGTTGTAGCAGAGGTCTAGAGGGATTAATTCTGTTATGAAAGGGAGCTTATTTATTTGACTACTGAGAGACAGCACAGGTGTGGTGGTTGTTGAGGGGGGTTCTGTGTGTTACAGCCTGATGCTCTCTGGAGATGGGGTCAGGAGTCAAATGGATGGACGAGTAAAATAGATAGACCATGGGGGACACTTAAGCATGCAAGCAGCACAAATGTGTGTAAAACCTAAAAAGAATGGTTCATTTCAGTGTGTGATTCAAACATAAAGATTTGAGCTGACCATGAGCCTCAAAGTTTTCCTGGTCAGTGAGAAAGGCGTTGCCAGGTTTTCCTCTTATCCAGCTGATCCTGAAAGACATCAGGAATTAACTTAATTTACTCCAAGCCAGTCCTCAACTCCCAGAAGCACACCCGGAGATGAAAAAGGACTTTTTAAATAAATAAAAAATGTCCAGAAATAACAGCTAATCACGTCTAACTGCAAACTACTTTCTAAAGTTCCTCCCGGTGTCCTCTTTTTGACCTAGATTCATTATAGACACACAAAGCATACACACCGATTCTTGCTCATATTCTTGACTCTGTGCCACGTATGCTAAGTATGCTACCGCTCTCAGGAGGCTTCTGCACTGCTGTAGAGCACATTCAGAAAGCAGGACTCGCAGCTGCACAGAAAGTCAGGTTTTAAAAATCACCAACTTCAGTGTTAAACTCAATAAATCTTGACGCGTGTGCTTTGGAAAATGTTTTTCTGAGTTTGAGGCTGACACAGCTCGTTTGCCGGCTGTGTAATAAAGCGTAGATGACTGTGCCTGGGCAGGATGAGCAGCTGGCCCCTGATTGGTCTGTTGCTTGTTGATGCATAGGGCATGTGGAGTTGGGGGGGTTGCAGGATGTTTTTCCACATAAAAGGCCAATTATCTACATTTTCACCACCTCATGTGAAAGTTCTTGCTCTCATCTCCCTGTCACGCTGAGGTTCAGTCTTTGAATTGCAGAATGTTTTTTTTTTTCTCTTCTCATGCACCAAAAATGCAGATGTTCACTGTAGGCTGTGAGGATGAATCATCAGCTGCTCTATAAACATTTTGGACAGTCAGTTCAGACGTATTTACTTCATAGCTCATAGTAAGCCATATATTTGCTAAATTTAAGAGAATCTAATCATACCACGTATCACTATCACTGAATGTTTATGACATTTTTTCTCACCACAGTTGCAGGTTTCAAAGATAATCTGATAAATGGGAGAAAGTGCTACATTGTTCATAGTTTTGTACAGCTCAAACAGGCAGTGAAAACCACTGTCTCAGTCTTTGCTTTATGAGTCATAATGCAGTTATCTATACAGTTTGAAGCCACATACTTTGGTTTTGTACAAAGAAACATCTTTTGAAATGGTATCATTAGTTATTACTATTAATGATAGCCTCAATCCATTTTGACCTCAATAAGAAAACTGAGATTAATTAAATATATTGAGATTACTGCAGTCTTTTCCAGCTTTGCATTTCAGATAGGAAATAAGGGGAACTGATCCCGGCTGTCTGCTCTGGGTGCTGGCTGATTGCGGTGATGTAGTGCAGGGTGTCCATAGGTGTACTGCGCTTATTATTCAGGCAGCAGTGAGAGCAAATCTGTTGTCTGTCACCCTCAGTAGTGAGCAGCAAGATGTCTCTTTTCTCAGGTGCCAGCTAAATCTGCTCCGTGCTTCTGTCTGGTCCTGAGTGCTCCCTGCCTTCTTCCAAGACTTTTACATAACCTTGGAGCCGGACCACTTTTGACAACCTTTCCTGTTGACTGAGGGGCCGACAAATTTAGAGCACCTAAGTAGGCTAAAGCACGGGAGGGGAAATAAAAATACCTGCATCTCATCATTAACGGGTCATGTGCATGCTAATAGAGACTTTGGTATTTGAAAAATAGAGAAATGAGGAATGAAGTCTATATTTTTTTCATACAAATTAACAAGTTTCTCCTCTGTGACTCATTGTTAGGACAGGCTGATTCAGATCCTTTGGCTTTTTGTGAGCAATCGGACACACACCTCCTAATAGTAGCCATGTAGCAGCGTTGTCAACAGGAACATGCCCTTAACCCTCATAAAACTCATATTAAAGACTTTCCTCCATGACACACCATGATTAACAAAGCCAGAGCGCCCAATCAGATACTCCAACCAGAGAAGACCCTCCTACGTCAGGGTCTTCATTAGGAAAGGCTCCTGATCCCCCTGATACCCCATGAGCAATCATTATCCATTATCCAGCGAGGTTCATGAGCTGAACATCTCACAAGAGACTGGAAAGCTCTCAGTGACATATTTAGTGTAGCAAAAAGAGACGTCTCGCTGAATCTCAATCTTGACATTTGTTTGCGGGACACATCGGGGAACCCGGTGCCTCATCCGTAAAAGAAATCTACTCCCACTGTCACAATTACAGGATTTAACCGCCCCACAAACGAGACACTCGGGGATGAGGAGAGAGAACTGAGAGAGTAAGAAAAGTGGGCGATTTTGCCATGTGAGAGAAAGGGTGGAGCAAAGAAAATATTTGTGACATGCATTGAGGAAAGTGCGAAGCAGAAAGGAAAGAAACAATGACAGAACAGCTGGGGACTGTGTGTGTGTTTTCTCAGATTTACACATACATCAAGATGGAGAGGCAGGGAACATGAAGTTCAGGGATTTTAGGGTGCTGACTGACAGAAAGATAACAAACAAAGGTTCATGAGACACAAACACAGGCATCAAGTATCCCCTGGCCAGAAATAGTAGTGGTTTGTGAATTATTTATTTTCTGAGCAGGATGTGCACAGCTTAAATCAGGATCAAGCTGACTGAGATCTTGGATATATTTTATTCACTTGTGGTAAAAATGTTGTTTTTTTTTAAATCCACAAAAGTTTTTTTTTCTAAATCCATTTTAATGTAGGCTAACAGCTCTGGACGGTTTTAGTATTTTTTTATTATCTTAAACTGGGCCAAAAATACAATGACGGGTGTGTGAGTGGTCATGAACAGGATACGATCACAGTCCATTCTCATGATTTTAAAGTGAAACAGACTTTTCCAAAGATGTTAGCGACAGGTATGATTTTGAATTAAATGTATTGACTACCATGTACGTCTTTCACCCCCAGCACAATTTCCTAACCTGGATCTTGGTGTTACCCTTACCTTTTGCAATTATATATGGAGGGTACATGCCCTATTTATTTAAGGGCTCAAGCAGCACTCTTCTTTGGTTTGCAGTTTGGAAAACCACCAAACCTTGGTCAACATTCACAAGTGATATAACACCTCATGGCGGGCTTTAGACCTTTAAGTGGGAATATTTTGTATAATCTATTTCAGAGAGAATCTCAACTGAAAAGGCTTGGCAGAAGGCAGTGCAAGATATTTTACCCACATATCATGCCATTCCCCAGTGATAAGTCTTATTTTTCAGCTCGAAATGGGCCTAATACATTACCTTCAGATTGTGTCTTAAGTGATCTTATGTAATTAACATGAACATGAATTGAATAAAATCACATTAACTGGCTCGTATTGCTCGGGTTGCAGGTTGGGACCGAATGAACGCTTCCTGGAGCACTTTCTTGCAGAGTCAGGCTGTGAGGTCCACTGCTTTGATCCCAGCCTGAAGGAGCCTCACCAACAGGAAGCTGAAATGTGGCACCACCGCCTTTCTGTGGACTGGAGGGATCCCAATCCAGCTTTTTCAGCCCAACGTCAGCATGCAACCACTAAGAAACTGGCCACCATTCTAAATGAGTTTGGACACCGAGAGGTAAGCGACAGAGAGTTACCAACACACATCTGTGGTTGAACTGCCTCTTTTTAAAAACTGTCAGCGGTGGTCATGCACTGCATGTAAACACAGACCCGTCCTGTGGACCTCTGCACAACCCAGCTCATCACTATTCACAAATCAGTTATCTAGCTCATGGTGCAGGTGAAAATGTTACCATCTGTAATCTCACTGTCCTCTTTTAAATGTTATCACTCTCAGAGCTTCCTCTTGTATCCTAAATCATCAGATAAGGATCTGCGTACACGATCAAACACACTCTCCAAGCACTCTGATTGCACGCATACTAATAAACAGTCATGGAACAAACGACTTGCAGCTAGAAGGCATCAAGGTCTTTTCTCTCTTAATCTCTTTCACACAAGAGTGAAATTTAGCCGTAGCTGTTGCAGACCCATGCTAATTAAAAGGATGACTAAGGCTTGAAGTGCAGTTTAATTAAGTCCCAGCAGTCATTTATTCTTTGTCGCCCTCTTCACTTTAACGTATAAATGATTGCAATTTACATGCAAACACAGAAGCGTGACCATACATATCTATATGGTGCCATTCTTTCATGTGTTTTGAATGAATGGATATGATCAAAGTTAACAGATAGCGTATATACAGTAAGAACCTTCTGGGAGTCGTTTTACCGAAGACAGTACGGACGTGTTATGAATGAAGAGCCACACTTGCTGCCTTGTAATGAGCTTTTAATGGCAGTAAGCAGTGTGCCGAAAGAGCAGGCGGCAGAGCAGCAGATTTATTTCTTTACGAGAACCTTTTGCCAGTGTGTCAGAGAGTAAACAGAGTGATTTAAAAAAGTCAACATATGCATTTGGGGGGCATTTCTTACTTGTGCTAATAAAAAAACTTCCAAGATTAGTCAATGTCTGAGCTAGTGACAGGGGCATCTCAGAGACAATTTCAGTGTCAAGTTCTTTCAAAAGAAAATGAATGCAAATGTATCAATGATTGTGTAAGTAAACCAATAAAATCATCATCTCTGCCCGGTGATAACATTTCCCATGCCCATCTGAACTTCCTCAAATGACTTAGTAAAGATCCTTCTTCTGCACTCGGATGCATTTGTGGATTATTAAAACACTGCTTGGTTTATAAGAAATGCAGGGCTTCTTCATCAAACAAGAGGGCTTGTTCTGGAAGCACTTAGAGAAGCTGTTTGCATGTCATCTGCATTTATTCACCAAGAAGAAAAAAGGTCTGATGAGCTTCTGATGCAAAAATCACGAACACCTGTTCGACTTTTTAAACTGTTAAGGTCTGGCAACAAACCTATAAAGAAACCTAAGGCTCTGAAGATATGCATTAAGTCCTGAACATGCACAACCCCCTTTTCCATAAATATGACCTCAGGGTGCCATTAACATTCATCCTGTGATGCATTATTTTCTTGCTCTATCTCAGCAAGCCATGTCAGGCAGCTCTTTCGCTCAATCCATCATCTTACAGCAAGAAAAGAAGCCAAGCTTCACTTTTTAATACATTCAAATTCCATGTGATTCAGTTTGATTGTAGTAATAAATTAGAGGACATTTATTACTAGTATTTTTTTTAAAAACTGTCTTCTTCCTAATTGTAGCTGGATGTCCTGAAAGCAGACATGGAGAGTGCAGAATGGAAGATTCTGGAGAACCTGGTCCTGGAGGGAGTGCTGGACACGGTGGGTCAGCTGCTGCTGGAGATTCACCTGCACTGGGCTGGTTTTGAGGTGGGGGGGGATGACCCGGCTGTGGTGCGGTACTGGTTCAGCCTGCTCAAGGAGCTCGAACGTGCCAAATTCCACCTTTTTCACGCCTACAGCGACCCAATGAAACCTCATCTGTTTCTTCACAAGAACGTCCTCAACGCCAGCAGCGTTTACACTTTGAGCTGGGTAAACACCCAGTGGAACCCTGCAAGGATGCTAGACAAACCTAAGAAATAACTCTTAACCTGACTTTTACAGCTTCCTAATGGAAGTGTGAGGAGTTTAAGCACACATTTGTTCTCGCCGCTGACCTCAGAGACTGATCTAATCTGATATGATCTTTTCATAAAGCTCCTTCTGCATATTTTCCTCCTGCTCACCGTCTCCTCGCCTGAAATGACCTCAGTGGTGTAGAGGGGGCAGCCGTTGCCTGCAGAGCTCTGTGTTCGGCCTCAGAGTGGCCGTGCTGCTGGCTGCAGGTCAGCCTGACTCACAGTGGTCATCATCGCAGCTTGAGCCTGGCCCAGAGGCAGACTCACTGCTGACAGAAAATCAGCTAAGACAGCTCATAATGTAGAGTTGACATGAATACATTATGTCTAAAAAAAAAGGAAGGTAGATGAAAGATCCTGAGTATCTGCGAGTCCCTACAGATTGAAGGAAAGACATTTGAGCAGCTAAAAAAAAAGGTTTTACATGATTCTGACAAAAGCGAGCCCCTATAATGGCTCAAAAAAACATCCTTCCTTCTCCAAAAGTGCCAACTTCCCAAGTTAAAGTTGGCTTGCATCCTGCTCATAACTTTACAAGCAACGTCCTCACTGCACAAAAACATCATCACATTTTCCACGAAAACGCTGCAGTTAAAAATAAAAAAACAATGATTTATTTTATGATTCGCAAAACATTTTGTTAAAGAGAGCGGACAATGACTTACGATTTTACGTTGTCATAGATGAAGAAATACATTTTTCTTTTTGAAAATAAATTTCCACAAAAAATGTCATGAGAGTGAAATAAGTTTTCAAAAAAAGAACATGGAAAGAATACTTTAAGGAATAATGTAACTTAAAACAATAAAGAAAAAAAAATTAAAATTGCAAAGTTTCCGCGTGTTTTATTCATTTTGTTGCAGAGACGAAGACTAAAAGTTGCATGTCTTTATATCGGTAAAGACATTACACGTGTACACATTTTGAGCTCTTGTGACAGAATACAAAAATACACCCCTGCAATTAGACTGGATACCAGCCCTTTTACTGGAAAAAAACATTTCACCAGGACAGTTCAACACATATTTTCTGCTAAAGCCGGCCACAGACACAAACACAGAGCCTAATCCCAGAGTTTGATCTGTCCGTCCCATCCACAGGTAATGACTTTGGAGGTTTCGTGTGGATGCCACAGTGCGCTGATGCACACCTTGTCATGAGCCTTGATCCTGTGGTAGAGCTTGGTGGTTTTCCAGTCCCAAATATTCAGCTTTCCGTCGGCGTCTCCCGACACCACATAGCTTGTGGAGAGTAAACAAATCGGAGAGAAAATGATTAGCACTTAGCTAAAAAGGACTTCAATCTGTTCTTCACCTGCCAAATGCTGGGAGTCAGAATGTATTGTTTGTTAAAGACTACTCAGAGGTTGCAATGTTGCCATGGATACAGAGAGGAAGTTAGCACACCTGTTCACAGATGTGTGGGAGAGAGAAGAGGATAAATAGGCCAAAATAAATATATTGGCTAAAGTTAAGGAGCTGTCCTCGATCACAGTGAATTTTTTTACATTAAATAGTATCAAGCATTTGTTACAAAGCTCTGAAAAAAACAAAAAGCTCTGCCCTATCAGAGTATGGTCATCAGTGCGGACACCTACCTCATGTCTGGGGAGAAGTCCACTTGGCAGGCATAGCCAGCAACCATGTGGCCCTTGAACACTTTCTTTTTGTTTAGTCTGAAGCGGTTTTGGGCCCCAAAGATGAGAATCTGGTTGTCCATCGACTGGCACGCCAGCCATTTACCTTGGAACAGAAATGAGCAAAACGTTAACACAGGTATCAGTAAGACCCCTTTAAGAGGTGAAAAAAGTTTCAGTCTTTCAAGTGCCTACGAATAGAGCAGAACTTTGTGTCAACAGATCAAATATTTTATTTTTTTGCTGTAAAAGTCAGCTCACAAAGTTTTAAATTGCTTGTTAGTTCAATAGATGGTCTCATTTGCATGATTTGGTACAGGCGGAGGTTTAACAAGCAGCTCCTGGGATCTTTTGATGATGCCGGCCACTGCTCAGCTGTGAACCTGATGGAATAACAACTGAGAAATATTCAGTGGAGTCAAAAGATTTTAACAGGAGCCACAAACTAATAGAGAACGCAGCTCAAAAATTCTTCAGAAAGAAAAAGTAAACGGGGGGGGGGGGGAGAACTACTGGAAATAAGGGGATAATGTTCTAAAAAAAGGGCATGATTTCATTAAATAGTTGAAAGTGAGAAAATTTAAGGAAAACAAAAAGGTATTTTGAACAGCTTTTGCTGTTTTTAATATACTTTATAGAGTTTCTGCTTTTGACAAAATGGCAATGCGAAGCAGCACTAGGCGTCAAAGCATTACACGAGCCGCTGCACTTCTTCACGCGAACATGATGGAAATGATTAATGTGAAATGAGAAAGAGATATAGGCTTGGGATGTGTGCGCCGTCTTCTTACTTTCCCTACAACAACACATCAGAGGAGGACACGCAAATGTCAAGCGCGACACGCGCAGGAGAATGAAAACAACTTGACCAATTTCACCAAAGCTGCTGGAATCTGCCTCTTTCAGTCGGATGGAAAGAGGGGGGGGGGAGAAGGGCTGGGTGCCATTTAGGCGTGAGACAAAACTGAATGGCCTCCCACTGCGAGCACATTCATTATTCACACACCAAAGAAAAACAAATCATGCTGGGACAAATAAGAACTGAGCTCACAGGATGGAGGGGAAACACGTGGAGAAGGGATTAAAGTGGGTACAGAGGGAAGGAGCAGATAAGGACAAAAGAGTTTGACGGTGGCTGACGATGACGGGCTGAAACAGAGAGTTCCTGATTAAAATGGAATTTGCTGCCTTCTGTTAATGTGATGCTAAAAAAGAAAAACAAAAAGAAAACTGGTTTCTTCAGATTAGCCTTTCATCTTTGTGGAAGCAACACAGAAGTAGGCCCACTGTTCTCTGTATCTGCACATTGCTCATAAATGAGCCCATCACACATCTTAATCCCTGCATGTTAAGCATCTGATAATACATTTAATCAACACAACTGTTATGCAGAGCCTGCAAAACGGAATATTGAATTCTTACGTGTCTGTGCTGGATGGTTTCACTTTGAAAGCTGCTCCACATTCTACTCACCTCCTTGCCATAAGACAGCAAATAAAAATATTATTTGAAATTAGAGGTCTCTATGCTTATAATGAGGCCATAACTAGAGTTGATTTGCTAATATTTGCAAAGGCAAAAGAAGGAAACGGCAGTCTGGACTGACATCCACCTCCTTATATGAACAATTGAAGTGCAAAATCATTTTTATGACCCTAAAATGAGCCTGTTAAAAATGACAAGAAAAATGGCCAAAATAATGAGAAGTGAGCTGAGAAATAAAGTCTGGCAGCTAACATCCACCATAATTGTGTGGATTGTCCAAAGGTTTCAAAATGGAGGACTTGCAGCAAAAAGCAGCAAAATTGATGGCATAAACCACCGTTCCACTTAATGCAACCTCTTTATCCTGTTCCGAGTCACAGGTGGCTGGAGCCCCTGCCGGTGGTCACTGGGTGAGAGGCAGGGTGAAAAGTTGCTGGGCCATAACACCTTGATAACAAATTGGAACAAAGAATTGAAAGAAAGAAAAGCATGGACCACCTCAGCAGTGGACCATCAGCACACAATGCTGCAAACAAACAACAAAATATATGAAATGAGGTTCTACTTTAACAGGGGCGTTCATCCGCCTTTGAAAGCCTAAAACTTTGTGAGATCCTCTTCCAGCAGATGTATGTGGGAGCACATGTTTCAATGGCACACAGATAGTGAAACTGAGGTGGTAACGGGTGTGATCACTGGCTCCAAACATGTCTGTTAATATACTGAAGTGGCTGCATGGAGCCCGGCCTGCTTTTATTCCTGCGAGTAATGACCAACGTGGGAAGGCAGGACTCTCCTTCAGCGTGGGAATGTTGCTTTGTGCTCCCACGAGTCCTCAGAAGTGTGTACTTGCATTTGGGTTTGTGAGCGTTTGCCATGATTTGCCTACCCACCGTTAGGAGAGAGTGTCACAGCTGGCATCGAATGCATACTAGGCTCGGCGATGTACTTGAAGTCCACGGGGATGTCCCTGAAAAAGACACAAAGCTCTGTGAACACACATGAAGATGGGTCGAATCGTGGATGAGAGAACCTGTGCAGCCTGGAGGAAGACAATCTCAAACATTTGCCAATCTTTTGTTTGTTCATCATTTCAGCTGAGCGGTGGTAAATAATGTCACCATGGTAGCTGTTGTATGTAAATAACACTGTGTTATCGGTGTATGTTTCTGATGCTGCGCCATGATGATAGCAGCGGCCAATTCTTTATGAAACCGCCTTTGCTCTTCGCTCTGCTTCCTCTCTGAATTGGGACGTGAACCCAGGAGTTGTCCGGGCCAATGTGAGCAAAAAGAAAAGGGGAAAAAAAGAAAAGCCAAACTGATCTCACAAAAGATAAAAGTCCACACAGCTCCTCTTTCCAGGGCCATGAATAAAATAACGCAGAGAGAGATCCGACAGGAACAGAGAAAAACAATCCCCCACCAGGGACGTGAATGCATAATAGATGGATAGGTAAAATGTCAATCAAATTTAAGAATGCAGCCTTTTCGCAAAACTTTTTGAGATGGCACACATCCTGATCCCTGGCACAAATGTGATCCAGTTGGAGGGTTCAAATAAATGCATAAATTGCAGATGATCTTTGGAACTAATGAGACAAGAAGAGATGAGGAAAAGTAGATCAAATTGACAGAAAATTAACTCTTACTCTAAAAAAAAAAAAAAGAGGAAATAAATTTGGAAACTTCTTAACAGATAGGTTTCCTGTCCTATATGCCAAAACAGATCTGAAATAAACAACAAAAACTGAGACCTCTTCAGGTTGCAGCAGTTCCATCGATGTCAGTGTCCTAACAAATGCCATACCAGGCCTGCAGTGTTCCTGCTCTCTGAATGATGTCTTTATGATAGAGAGCCAATTCCCTTTGTTGGAACAGTGTGCTACATTTTGTATTGATTGTAATCCTCCTCCAACGCATGCACAGACTCTGTTCCCCGGAGATAAATCCCCACTGCAGATAGCGCCTTCCCCTTAAACTCGCGAGTATGGGTGTGAAAACAGGGACAGGCTCTGGATTAAATGTGGGCGTTTGCATCGCGACGTGGATGGCGTGTCAATGTGCTGCCTAACAAACGTCTGTGCCCTCCGGCAATTTTCCTGTTCCGGCTAATTCTGTGCACTACCGCAAACTAGCAGCTCAGATAAGAGGGCTAGCCCGAGCTATTTTCACAGCCAGGTGCAGCTATGACAGATCGATAGTCTCTGTGCCATTTGACCCCACAAGATGCTTGTTCTTTTACCACCGCACTGTGCTAAAAGACAGCCCCCGGGAGCCTCAATAGACTCTTCAGCTGCATATTTTTCAGTCAACATTTTATTCTGCGCATCAACTCAGATTTTAAAAGTCTAATCTTTTTATCAGATGAGCTGGAAAGGGGGAAAAAATGGAGAAAAACAACTGGGAAAATTGACTAAACAAACAAATGACAGAGAATTGACCTAAGCTATTCCAACAATCCCCAGGGTGCCTTCTTAATCAGCTTGTCTTTAAACATCTTTTTTTGTCTTTAGTCAGGAAATACCACGGCGTGTTTACCACCACGTACGCCTCGGCCAACACAGACGCCCCTCATGGTGGTCTCAAATAAAGCCCCCCAGTGGGATACAAACATGGAAGCATGGGAAAGACAAATCTATCAGTCCTGTCAGTACAATAACAAAAGTTATGTTAAGTTCATGTTTGGGGTGTTTTAAAACTGGGGCATCAAGTGTACACTTAAATCAATTTATCCAGTTTTACTTCTTCAGTATCTTTTTTGTTGGAGTGTCATTCGTTTTGTTGGAGAAAAAGAGAAATAATAAGACTGGAACAGATGTTACGACCTTATTAGTGTCATCTGGGTGTTTGCTGATGTGTACTATTTCAACAGAAAAGCTACTCATGAGAGCATAGGACCAAAAAAAAAAAGAGGGCAGCACACAGTATTACATCACTACAGAATGGCCCATATGCAGTATGCTTATTCAAGGACACAGCTTCCACCTACCACTCCCAAACCCGGAGACTCTTGTCATCCGAGGTGCTGACAAATCTGCGATTCTCGTCAACGAAGGTGATTGTGTTGACAGCGCCCAGGTGGCGATCATACTCCTGAACCACCTCACCTGTCCTGACATCCCACTGTTACACACAAACACACACACACGGGAGCAGACAGAGAAACAGACAGAATGGGGGTAAACACAGTTATCAGGAAACTATCTTTCAAAATTCCGCAAAACATCCCTGTCAGACTTCATAGTCTTACACAACGCTGAACGCGGAAAAATCATGCAAAGAAGGGAATCGTATGGCTGACTGTGGGAGAGGAGCTTCAAACTGGGCCAGTACGATGACTGTAATTAGTAATCAAACAGGCCTTGGCCTCAAATGGTAATATTCTTGGGAAAACAGCATGCACGGATGAAAAATGGAAAGGCAACCACACAGAAGCAGCTCCCCCAGCAACAAACAAAAGGGATGCATTTATGTCCTGTTCCATTTGTGCTCTTTTATTTAAACCTCACCCTTGGGGCAAACAGCCATCTGTGCTCAGAGCCCAGAGGAGATCTGCATGAGTTCACACTAGTCCTGATTACTGTGCCCAACTGTGACGTCTACTGGTCATACTGACGGTTATGGAGCACAGTTGGTGCCTGTTACCATGTATATCTACAAATAATCTTAAATATAAGAAAAAATTATATTTTCAAAATAACTGAAAAACACCCTGAAACATTCTGCCCTGCAACTGTACAGATCATACGTTTCTGTAGTGGTTAAGGAATATTTGCTGTTATAACGTTTTACTAATTGGAAAATAGAATAGTTTAGGTTTTTCATTTCTATTACTAAATTTTTCTCCTACTTTTTTGATCCATCTATTGCTGGCGATTTGTGACTTGCTTTGTACTAGTGTTGAAGGATAAGAAATGGGTATATTTCATAGCATACGCCGTGTACGGATAATTGAATACATGCTTCCGTTTGGCCAATATCACTTAAACACTTGCAGGAGTGTTACCTGAACAATTTTCTTATCCGACATGCCGGCCACAAACAGGTTTTGTTTTTCCTCGTCGGGGTTGAACTTCACACAGTAGGGCACCTTTCTGTTGGTGAAGCGGGAGATGCACTGGCCTGTGGAGGGAAGCGAATTGAAAGTTCCAGAAAAAGACGATCATGAAATTTTGGAAAGTTTTAGGACACAGACTGCGACTTTGAACGCTGTATTGCTCAGTCCCTGCAGGCCGTGCAAATGTTACTTTATCTCATTTATAGACGGTGAATCGCAGCAGAAAATGATCTTTGCACATAGACAAGAAATGGAAAGACTGAAATGCCAGAGGGTTTACAATCATAATGATGCTTCACAAAGTTTTTCTGCTGTATTCAGCAATCAAGTCCAAGTGCACTAAATGTAAAATAGAATTCTATCGTTTGTATCACTGTCACACTCTTAGATAAGAAGTTGTACCGACAGCAAAGAAAATGCAAGTTATGAAAAAAAGGTAAGGAATGAACTTGATTGGTCAAATTCCACAAATTCCATTAACTTGCTGACCTGCCATTCTTTGTTTTCAACAAGTGGGGTATCTAACTCTTTTCTGCCCTCTGCTGGAGCAGCAATCTTTGCCACAATAAGGATGTCAATTAGGATGAATGGAGCTGAGAGGAAGACCAAAGATATTTCTCAAATAAATTGATTTTGGGAAATCAGCTTACTGAAGTGTGATACTGTTAACTTCCTACTTTCTTCCCACTGATAAAAGAAATAAAACGCCACTGTTACTACCACTTCTACATTTGCTGAAAGGAACACACCAAATTTGGAGAGAATTGAATGAAATTATCATTTGGGATTCAGCTATGTTGATAGAAGCTTACCTGTCTCAGAGTCCCACAGTTTAAGGTAACGGTCATACGCAGCACTGAGGAACTGAGTTCCAGTGTTGTTGAAGCATATGTCTCGCACTGCTTTGCTGTGACCTAAAACAAAGGAAACGGACACACTTAACATACGCGTACGTTTTCCACACAACTCCCAGCCATCTCCTCATTTTAACAACGGACCGTCTTTTTTGGTCATTCAGCTGAGCTGTGTATATTCACAGTCTTTGTAAACCTCAGCACCACGTCTTTATGCCTCCTGCCCTGCCTTGCCCTTTTATGGCCCCGTGGCTGTTGAATGATACATGTTATATGAAGAAACTGACAAGGAAGACTACAGCTGTAATCTTTATTCTGATGGCATGCTGTTTCTGGGAGGACTAGAGGATTGTCTTGCATGCATTAGCATAACACTCCCTCAGATCCCACAGAATTAAGTAAAAGGTAAATGAATAGATAAATAAAAACACAGAAAAACATAGCTTTTGTGTCAGCGGTCAGTAAACACTGATGCTCCATTAATGCTGAGCTTAGTATGACACGGCTATGTATTTTTCCACGAGGCCGTCTAAAACATATTCAATGTCAGCATTTTTGCTGATGATCAACTGTTTTATACGGAAGCTTTAAGGTTTAACTCCAAATTCTCTTTGACAAATGGATTAGTGATCGTGTGTCATTTTGTTTTGCTTGGAGACATTGGGTAAAAATTCTGTCCACTCACCAATGAACGTCCTAATACACCTCCTCTCATTGTACACCTCCCACAGCTGTGAAGAAATATAACATCTGAACACAGAATCACAACTGGACAGGTGTGTCCAGATATGCATGCTGGTAATATCTGGTCTAGAAATAAGGTCATTATCCATATCTTAAAAATAGTGACCAAATCTGTATTCCTGATCTAACTACTTACTTTGATTTTACAGTCCATAGAGGAGGAGAGCAGCAGGTGACCAGACCTGGGAAACAATCTGATAGCACTGACACCCTGGAAATAGAAAATAACTTGTTGACAAAGAATCCATTTATCATGATAGTGTTGGTTACAAATACAGATGTGTATCTTTTATATGTTTTTTTCAAACAAATTAGTATTTTTAAAACGTTACTGCTTTCAATGTAGTGCAAAGTTTTCAATAGTTAAGCCACAGAGTTTGCATTGACCAAATAATAACGGGATGTATCCAGGCTACTGCTAATGGAGAATCAGACCCAAGACTAAATATGCAAAAGCAGTAAATAATTTTTCTCAAGGTAACTTTCTCCAATTGTGAGAAAACTTACTGGCTATTCTCCTAATAACCATCTTTCTTTCAAATGCTTACCTTTTGGACATTATTGTATCATAAATTACACTAAGTCTTTCTCTTCCTACACAGACATAACACCAGCCAATTTGTAATGCCAGTGATTTCCCTCTGCTTGAGGCACACTGGAAAATCCAATCAGATTTTTCTTGAATAAGTAAACGTTTGCCTTCATATCTGAATAATTAAGACCAAGCTGAATAAAACAGAGTATTCTTAATTCAAACTTAGCTGCAGATATAAAGTCTGACTAACCTTGGTGTGTCCAGACCAGACATGGATCTGTTTCTTTGGCAGGTAACATTTGTCTGGAGCTTCAGAAGAGCGCAGGTTGATGCCCACATCCTGTGGGACATGGAGGTACGACCTGCCCTGGTAGTCGTACATTTCTTTCACTTTGGAGAAGGAAAACACAGAGCAAATGTGAGCTTTTAAAAACACACCCTGCTGCTTTTATATAATTTTCTTTGTGATTTTTATCCTCAACCATCAGGTACTGATGGACAGATAAACTATGGCAGAAGTATAAACACTACATCTGAACAAGGACAGAAATGTAAGAAAAATTAGAATATCAAAAAATTCTGTGACATATGGTTAGAAAAATGAGAAGATCCAAAAATTCAAGTGGAAAAAATGCCATGGCAAAATAAATCAAAGAAGGCCCCACTACCATGGAGGATGGTCTTCTCTTCAGCAGGAGCCTCTTCCTCATTCCTTCCCCTCTTCTGTCTTTTTGCAGTGATCTCATCCAGCTCCTTTTGCTCATCCTGTACAGGAAAATGAATCAGCTTTAAATAACTGTGATGGCAAACTAAAATTAGTTCAAGTGTGATCACTCAGTCAAGGGTAACTAGCATCTACAGCACCAGCATTCATACAAATGCAGTGGGTGTGAATTTTCTAAACCGAATATCTGCCAATGTGGTTAATTTTGAAGGCTGAAAGAGTACTTTTGTGCCATTTTTATAGTTATGCAAGTGGTGGCCTTCAGTCACTAGAGACATGCATTACACCCGAGAGGAACGAAATTCTTTAAGAATGCATGACATGAGAAAAATGCTCATAAAAGGTTTACCCTAAGGCTATTAGATAATGAGTTGAGTTTAAATTGAAAGGTGGCACATTGTTCAACATTGATCTTAACCTGTATAGAGCAGCATTCAGCAAACTGAACAAAACATCACCTCTGTTGGTTTGGCCACGTCTTTTTCGTCTGCATATTTCGCCCATGGACCAAGGAACTGATCAATTTCCCCAGCATCTCCACCTTTGATCTTTTTCCTTTTTTCAGATTTCTTCCCACCACTTTCAAACACAGTCAATCCTGGAAGAATAACAGGACAGATGATGCTTAAAACAACTGATATTTTAAATGATAAATCATATTAAGTAAAGGAAAGTAAAGTAAAGACTGAAAACGAATTACTCATTCACAATTACCTTTGTATTTCTCAGCCTCATCCAGAGCACCAATGTAGCCTGTAGATGATGTCTGGTGCGTATCAACAGAAGGATCTAAAGCATAACCTATACGCACACATGGGAAGATTGTGATGTAATGATGAGAAATCAAACTGGACCATTGCCCTTTCTATATCAGTCATATCTATGCAGAATTATGACAAAATCTTACCATAGGTAGAGAAAGTCCTCCTTTGCTGTTCAAACATAAAGTCATTGACATGAGCTGGCTCTGCATAACCAGATAACATGTTCCTGGGGGCAGCCATTTGCTGGGTTTGAAATGGGTTTGTTGGCCCAAACTATGAAAGGAAAAATTGGATTTGATTATTAACCTATAAGGACTTCAGTGGCAACCACAGTTGGGTTAACAGATATAAAAACATTTTTTTTTACCGAATGAAAACTAAAACCATTTATTGTACCATTTCTAAGAAATTACCAAATGCAAACAAAACAAGTGTCAAAGATTATTTCGTATTTTCATAAAAAAAGAACATATAAGGAGCATTTGGTTACACCAATTACTGCCTGCACTTACCTCAGGTGCAAACATGGTTTCATATGTTGGGTTATAAACCACCTCTTTCAGAGAAGGGTCCAGGTGTATTCCCGTCTCGACAGCTTCCTATGTATACAAACGAAATCAAAGAAAATGCTTTCACACTTTTCTAACTGGGAAACAACATCGCATGTGATTTGACCATGTTATGCTGAGATTTAAAAAATTATGGCGGTAAATCTAATCATTAGCACAACGTGTGATCGTGTGAGAAAACATTTTCTGAACAATTTTCTATGAAATTCACAGTAAATTTGGGTAAAAGACAACATCATGACGTTTGCTACTTTCCCGCGAACAAATATGAATAGGATAACTCTGAAGACTAAAATATAAGTTGAGGCTTCATGACTTCTACTCTACATGTTCCACGTTATGATTAAACTGCATTCATTAATAATCAAATACATTTTCGATAAAACAATCGATTAACTTAACATTTTAGCTCGCGTTAGCTAGTCCTTATAGATTAGCTTCTTTAGCGTAGCTTACCTTAACGGCAACCTCAGGAGCAGAATTAAGAACAGCCAATGACATTGTTTGTCCAGATTGCAACGGTTTAAGGTGGGCTGTCGCGTCCGGATCCATTGGGTCTACTTTTCCAGGACTGGTATTCGATTGTGACTCATTTTCTGAGTCGGAATCGCTACCGTACGAAACGAGGGAAGATACGGCGGCAGACATCTTGAATGTTGTGAATTCACAGGAAGAAGGAGGGCGGAACTTCCGCTTGAATGACAGAAAGAAAGAAAGAAAGAAAGAAAGAAAGAAAGAAAGAAAGAAAGA